GGCTGGGTGGGACTCCTGGTCCATGGACAGACGGGTGGAAATGTCCCTGGTCCATGCACACATGGATGGGGCAGAGGGTCCTGGTGTGTGTCTGTCTTGTGTGCACATGTCCAGGGGTCCCAGTGGGTGGGAGGTGGTCCCAGTGCTGGTTCTGTCCAAGCACAGTCAGCCAGGAAGCTCCTGGTCCATGGGCAATGGGGTGGAGATGTCCCAGGACTGAGCTGGTCCATGCACATGTGGATGGGGCAGAGGGTCCTGGTGCCTGTCTGTGTTGTGTGCACATGTCCAGGGGTCCCAGTGGGTGGGAGGTGGTCCCAGTGCCAGCCCAGACTGTGCACTAGTGACTGGGAGGTCTCTCCACGCATGGACAGAGGGGTGGGAAGGGGGTCCCAGTGCCAATCCAGACTGTGTACTAGTGACCAGGAGGGCTCTCCATGCATGGGCAGAGCGTTGGGAAGGGGGTGCCAGTGCCAGCCCAGACCATGCACTAGTGACTGGGAGGTTTCTCCATGCATGGGCAGAGGGTTGGGAAGTGGGTGCAGACACCAACCAGCAGCACTGCCACCTCCACTCCCTCCCCATCCATCCCACCCCACGCTGCTCCAGCACAGCTCCCCCTCCCTCCATTGAAAACCACACAAATCTGGGTAAAAACCACCAGAAAACAAGACTGAACGTTGGGATACTTTATTAGCCAGTCCAGGCAGGACCTGTGGCTCTACTTAACCTTCTTCTTGGGGCGCAGGTTGTTGGTGTGGCCACACTTCTTCTTGCGGCAGTTGACGGCTCGAGGGTGCAGGCGAGCGTAGCACCTGGGGGGGACAGGTCAGCACAGCCCTGTGGCCCTGGGGAGGGGGAGCAGGGAGTTGTGGGGGGACAAGGGAAGGGGACAGGGACACAGGGACACGTACTTGCGGCAGATCATCTTGTCACAGTTGTATTTCTGGGCGAGCTGGCGCAGGGAGGGCTCGATGATGCCTCCCCGCAGACGCAGCACCAGGTGCAGGGTGGACTCTGGAAGGAGAGATAGGTGTCACACTGAGGGTCATGAGCACCCCCAAAAAAAAAACCACCCCTCTGAGGTCCAGGGAGCACCTTTCTGGATGTTGTAGTCAGCGAGGGTACGGCCATCCTCCAGCTGCTTCCCCGCGAAGATCAGACGCTGCTGGTCGGGGGGGATCCCTGTGGGGACAGTCAGGGTGGTGAGGGACAGCAGGAGACACTGCAGGGTCACCACACCACTCTCCAGCCCCTCTGGTACCTTCCTTGTCCTGGATTTTGGCTTTCACGTTCTCGATGGTGTCGTTGGGCTCCACCTCTAGGGTGATGGTTTTGCCCGTCAGGGTCTTCACAAAGATCTGCATCTTGGCACTGGTTTTGTCTGCAGGGAGTAGTGGTTGGGTCACCCCCAGTGCTCCCAGTGTCCCATACCCCCTGTGCCCAACCCCATCAGTCCTGAGAGCCCCATTCTGGAGACCCTGGACCCCCATTCCAGGATCTCTGGGATCCTGGGATTCCCAGGGTCCAGCCTGGGACCCAACGCCCATCCTAGGATTCACAGCCTCCCAGCCCGGGATCCAGGGCCCCCCATCCCGAGGTCCAGCCCCATCCCGGGACACAAGGACCT